AGATGAACAATTGAAGGATTATGTCCTTATCTAAGGTGATTTTGAAACACGAAAGTAAGATTGCGATTCCCCACAATAAACGATATTCTTCCAGTTCATACGGATGACAACTGTAAACGATTATTTCGGAGTGAAAGTATCTTATACCCTGATATAAGTATAGGTCGAGTGGAAAATTCCCTGGTGCTGGCTTGGATTCTCATCTATGAATTATTTCTGTTTAATTTATGTGATTAGTTGGTGTAATTGAGCGCGCCGTACCATTTGGCCCTGGTTTAGTTGTCCTAGATATGAGAGTACATACACATACTTTTCATGATATCAGAATTACATGTTTCTCTTCTCGGACGCGTTGCTGTGACTACCGCAGTGAAAGTAGATAAGAAAGAACACTTGTATCTCTTATTCGATTGTAATTGATAATGAATGATAAGAACGATCACAAATCCGGGACACTTAAGACTGTTTACTATCCGCACGTGTTGCCAATTATTCGGAAACTCATAGTTTCCGGCACGTTTCCTTTTTTGAGGTCGACTGTAACGTGGACGACACACCTATAAAAAGAATATCACTAGCCACTTGTATCGAATGTACGTCGCTACCATAACTGCAAGACTTAACTGCGGTGTACTGAATTCACATTTACCTATCCATGTTACAAAGCAAAAGAGGTGTAGCGCATAATGACCAATGACAGTTGTGAGTATAACTAAAAATAGAAACGATATAGAAACGGAACGAAATGAAACGGGTGAAATCTAACGAAATAATCTGCATTATGTTTTTTTTTCGATTTCACTTCAATACCATGGCTGTTTTAGATGTAGTTGGTAGTTTCGTTATAACATCACTTGTTTCTGTCGCATTTTGGAAAAAATAGCGCAAATAACTGTATTTGTTTTTTATTTTGATTTTATTTAATTGAAACTTCAAATAAAATTCGATATACTACTGGAAAATTAATTAAAATATACAATCAAACAGAAAACGATAACTGAATATTTAAACTATTTATACTTGTTTTATGAGAAGAATCGTCATTACTCAAAAATGTGTTTTGTGTTGGACACTCTTCTTCATTCTCAACACAGATCATGGACATCACGTTAAGTCGGCAAAATGAGGATTATATGTCCATGTAAAATGAGATTGGAAACGAGACAGTTACAAATAACCAGACAAATTAATCCCGATAATATGTTGCTCCGTGGTGTACAGTACAGTTCTGGCGTCCACTGTGAACCCTGATTGACCTTAAGCATCGAATCACGAGGAAGAATGTTGGGTTTTGACTTTAGAGAATATTGTACATCAGGTTCTTAGCTTATCCTGTTTTTTTTTTTTTTGTGTGTGTCATTTTCAATCACATTTCTCACAAAATGTCTCCCGTTTCGAATTTTAAATTCAGAATAGAAGCGGGCAGATCACGTACTGAATGAACCCGTTTTCTCGTTTCTTTTGATTTCACAGTCGATCGTTCACGGTCCCCGTCGTAGTTTTACCCAGGGGGTGCTGTATATTAGAGATGAACCATGGGGGTGGTATACATTATAGATGTACCCCGGGGGTGGTATACATTATAGATGTACCCCCTTGGTGGTATACATTATAGATGTATCCCGGGGTGGTATACAATAAAGAACTACCCCGGGGTTGGTATACATTATAGATGTACCCTGGGGGTGATATACATTATAGATGTACCCCGGGGGTGGTATACATTATAGATGTACCCCGGGGATGGTATACATTATAGATGTACCCCCGGGGTGGTATACATTATAGATGTACCCGCGGGGGTGGTATACATTATAGTTTATGGTTTACATAGTACATGTTCTCCGAAAATTGGTTTCCATTGTATAGATAGAAGAGTGCAAAGATATTCTTATGCATCCAAGAATGTAGGCATACAAAAAGAGAGTGATGTTGGGTGTAGGGGGATATAGTTGGCCAATATGTAGTAGAAACTAGAGACAGCAAACGATGTAGAAAAGCAGTGTCGTCCCTGGGGAGCGACCACAGATGTAGAACAGCGTCTAGACCTTCAGATCATCTACACTCTGTCTGGCCAAATACGTAAAGGGTAGTCGGGCAGTGATCAAACAGTCTAGATCGGTAGTCGATAGGAAATATGTATCATTATATACGAGAAGGAAAACACTAGATTGGAAACACATGGTTAGTTTCGTCCTGTGGTTAAGATGATCTCTGATGAGTGTTCAGTGTCATGAATACGTCATATTGTTCTGAAATGTGATATTGGTATACTTCAGAAACAGTTGTAAATTAACTTACCTAAAAATATGTTTTTATCCTGTCGATTTTACCCGACCTGCTTGGTAAATACATGTTAATGGAATCAGCGTTGACCCAGAGCACATGTGGTATATCGGTAGTATTTCTTAACCAGCACTGTTCTACTTCCGGTTCCGGTTTATTGGTGATACTCTAGTATACCCTAACATCAACGTACTAGACTTTCCCATTAAAAAAATGCGTGGCAATAAATCAACATGGTACATAGAAATAAGTGTTCGAAGATGGACACTCTGCAGTATGTGTACGTGTTTACGTCAATGTTTACATATTCCAGAATAATTTGTATTTATCAGTTGTGTTGATATGGTCGAGCTGATGGATAAGGAATTGTAATCACTCTAAAACGTTAAAACATGGAACGATAAATAATCAATGAAACCGATAAAAATAAGATTCGATCCTATACCGGATCAAGGATAGACGGAAGTAAGATTCGATCCTAAACCTGATCAAGGACAGACGAAAGTAAGATTCGATCCTAAACCAGATCAAGGGTAGACGGAAGTAAGATTCGATCCTAAACCAGATCAAGGGTAGACGGAAGTAAGATTCGATCCTAAACCAGATCAAGGGTAGACGGAAGTAAGATTCGATCCTATACCGAATCAAGGGTAGACGGAAGTAAGATTCGATCCTAAACCGGATCAAGGATAGACGGAAATAAGATTCGATCCTAAACCAGATCAAGGGTAGACGGAAGTAAGATTCGATCCTAAACCGAATCAAGGATAGACGGAAGTAAGATTCGATCCTAAACCAGATCAAGGATAGACGGAAGTAAGATTCGATCCTAAACCAGATCAAGGGTAGACGGAAGTAAGATTCGATCCTAAACCGGATCAAGGGTAGACGGAAGTAAGATTCGATCCTAAACCGGATCAAGGATAGACGGAAGTAAGATTCGATCCTATACCGAATCAAGAATAGACGGAAGTAAGATTCGATCCTAAACCGGATCAAGGATAGACGGAATTGAGATTCGATCCTAAAGTGAATCAAGGACAGACGAAAGTAAGATTATCCTACACCGGATAAAGGACAGACGGAAGTAAGATTCGATCCTAAACCAGATCAAGGATAGACGGAAGTAAGATTCGATCCTAAACCGGATCAAGGATAGACGGAAGTAAGATTCGATCCTAAACCGAATCAAGGATAGACGAAAGTAAGATTCGATCCTAAACCGGTCAAGGATAGACGGAAGTAAGATTCGATCCTAAATCGGATCAAGGATAAACGGAAGTAAGATTCGATCCTAAACCGAATCAAGGACAGACGGAAGTAAGATTCTATCCTAAAGTGAATCAAGGACAGACGAAAGTAAGATTCGATCCTAAACCGAATCAAGGATAGAATTTGAATTACCATTAAATCATAATTATTATAGTAAGTTGGAAGGAATAGACTTTTTCCTTTGTATAGCTGTAGTTGCATATTTGTGATTCGTTCAAGTTGTGTAGCGTGATACTAGATAGAATGATATACATATATGACAAACCTCTCTTACATTACTGATGCCAGACAACAGAAATAAATGGCGATGAAAAGGCATCACTGACTTCTCCACCTTAGTCAATAAATTATAAATCATTGGTGTCAGTATTTTATAAATCAGCGCATAAAATTCATTTTAAAATGTCTAAATGAAATTGCATCCATGGTATAAAGTAGTTTGGTGGCATTTTAGATAAGATCACACACAAAAAAACTCAATATTGATTAGTTTTAAATCGAGAATTTGAAGGAGTGTTACCGAATATATTTTCTTTGAAATGTCAGTTTTGATATATCACATGCCCATAAATTGTAAATCTTGGGGAAGAGATCTCAAATTGTTAGTTCTGTAAAAACGGTAAGGGCTTCAAGATAGACGATACAAGATGGAGGCGATATTTACAGCCTGAATTTTTTATCAAAGAGAGATAGCTAACATAACACCGCTAAACCATTACCTGTATATACCTGTGTCATCTTTCGATCATGATGGAAGAGTTGATAGGTTTCGTTGTACGTCATCAGGAGGTGATGAATACGTCATAAAGAATGGACTCGATTAGATAATGTCACCTAGAGGTGATTTTTTTTGTGTAGCCACCAAAATCTGGAATATATTTGTAATTTGTGTATTCTCGTTAAGTGGGTGTTTAATATTAATTGTATTGTTATATGATGCAAAGAATATCGTCTCCTCGGACCAGGAGAGAAAGACGAATTCCTATTTCTTGTCATAAATAATATTCACCTATAAAGTAGCACATGATTGAATTCAGGATATATCCATATGATATTGTTGCGTATGATCACATGTTTGATGATGATGATGACATATTGTGACGTCTGAATTACATCATTTCATGACGTCACACTCTCGCTCAATTCATCGATATGTCTCACCCGTGATATACCATATTTAGAAATATTTTTAATCTACCATTACTCATGAAAAAATATGATATAAAAACATGCTCTTTTCGCAATATTTATGGAAATCTTGTTTTTCTACCATTTTGTTTTCCTTTGCAAGTAAACTTGTTTAACGACTCGATATCAAATGATCTTTTCTCGTTAACTAACTCAGATCAGCAATTCATTTGATAGTTTTATATTTGTTTATATATAACTGAGTATATTCTGTCTGATCCTGTGCTGTAAAACTGATTTTCTTTGTGTTCCAGGCTATGGCCACAGTACCCCACAGACAACAGGAGGAAAAATCTTTTGCATGTGCTATGCCATCGCGGGTATCCCGCTGTGTATTGTGATGTTTCAAAGCGTTGGAGAGAGGCTGAATACTTTCGTAACCGTCCTTCTAAAACAAATAAAAAAATGTTTCAAACTGAAAAACTCCGAGGTATCCCAATCCAACCTAATCCTTGTAGCTATGAATCTGTCCATCATCGTTTTGACAGCCGGGGCCGGGGTGTTCTCGCACTTCGAGGGCTGGAAGTATATAGATGCTTTTTACTACTGTTTCATAACGCTGACTACGATAGGGTTCGGGGATTTCGTTGCTCTACAGAATCACGGTGCGCTAGAGACGAACCCCCAGTATGTCGCCTTTAGTTTGTTCTATATTTTATTCGGATTAACAGTGATTTCAGCTGCAATGAATCTACTTGTATTACGATTTTTAACGATGAATACCGAAGATGAACGAAGAGACGAGTTAGAGGCTGCTGCGGCTGCCCAAACGGCTGTAAAACTTGATGGTGACGTCATTACTTCCAACGGAAACGTGGTGTCACGTGCTCAGGAAATTCCGGAATTTAATGATCACGTGTCAGTTTGTTCTTGTTCGTGTTATAATATACGATCAAAAGATAAACACAGGTATAAGGTCACGAGGTCGCCAGGTAAAATATCACATCTGCTGCAAATGCAAAGTGTGAGTTCAGGGCAGGACGACGCCATTAGCAACGCTGAGGACTCCAATTCCATTGTACAATTTAACTATATCAACTGGAAACGAGCGTCAGTATAGTGAGGTTATCAGTTTGCACTGGATGTCTGTTAAGCGAGGGCGTATGTGTTAGCTTGGCAGTGAAATCAAGGAAAAAGTGTAGGTTAAGTATACATGTGAATATGTAGAGAATGAGAGAGTGTGTAAGGTTTTAATAACATTCTGGTACTTCCGAGGTCGCGATGGAATTCACTTCCGATAGCACAAGATATTTCTATTACTGAACTGTTTGGCATTTTCTTTGTAAATTCTAAAATAAGGTAAAAAATACACGTTCATGCAAAACTTTCATGTTAACAAAGCTAATTACCAAAATGTCTATTATGTGACCAGAAGTGCAGAATCGACTTTGCCCGCCATGTGACCGGAAGTACAGGTTCAATTTGGTTCAAATGTAGTATTGCTGGGATTTACATCTTTATATCTTGACTAGTTCCTTCTATTATCACTTTACTAGATCAGCCAGATGTGGTAGAAAAAAAATATTAAAAGATGTTAAAAAAAAACACATAGTGAAGATTTTCTAAAATGTGTTTCACTTTGCGATACAGTTTCGGTATAATTATCATAAACGAAATATATAGATATATAGTGATATCAGTATAGAGCTGTAAACCCCACGCAAAGTATAAACTAGTATGAAAGTTATTAAGATGGATGGTCAGTATTTTCTATACATATTAAAATACTATTATGGTGTTGATACGCATGTTGATAGCAGTTTAAATTCTTTTATAATTCATCCTATGAATGTATAAATATCATCAGACGAGAAAAAACGTGCATTTTGGTGACTTGTCACGTGACCCTGTCTGCTTATCATAGCCATATCCGGTTTGGTGTTTTTTGTTACCGAAACATTTCGCTATAGATATTGAATGTGATGTGCAACTTATCCAAACAGGAATTCTTCACGTGTACTCCTCTAGTATACATTTTACTAATGTATTTTATGAACAGTTGTTTTTTTCATAATTATCGTGTAGATAGTACGGCAGGAGTTACGGGTCGTTATGATATTTTGCCACGAGATGGCGCTTATAAATGTTAGATAGAGTTCCCCTCTATTGTGAGTATTGTACCTTTTGGAGTTGACATTTCGTGTTTAGTCTAGTCACGGTTGATTGATGGAAAAATATATAAAGTGGAGAGCGATGAACAAGGGAGATAACTCAACAGGTCCATTTACTGTTCAACACGTTATCATAGTAATTATTACAGTTACGCAGGATTTCCGGTCCTCGATCTCGAGAGACCGTAGTCTATTTCATGTCATTACTTTCATCCGAATATCATGACGGATATCTGTCAATTAATAATTATGATAAGATTTAAGATCAGACGTGGAAACTGCTACTCTCCTAGATATAAGAAAATCGATTCACTTCACCGATTTTAGATAAAATAATGAAAAAATAAACCTGTACAATGTATTAGACGTTACTATGATGTATAAATAGTTAGGAATCTTAATTATTTATCCAGACTCAATATATACATTGTACAATATGCTTATAATAGATTTCACAGCAACGCCTGAATACAGCAAAGGCATGTTTAGACGCAATGGATACTGCATTCTTCAATTCTTTATAAATATGATCAATTGGTTTTGATTTTTGGTAAGGTATTGATGAACTATTTTGAAATATCTCCTAAATCAGTTTTATAATGATAAGTGTAGTTTAATATAATAATATTTAGTGTACATTTTCAGTATATAGATTTTTGACAGCACATTTTATAGCTGTAGGGTAGGGTTGTTTTCTGTCTTGTATATGTACATCAATACGGAGGAACCAGGTATATCTGTATCACAAATAGAGGGTGTCGGACCTCCAGTTCTAGTATATTATTAACAAACAAACAAACAAACAAACAAACAAACAAACAGATGTTTAGAAGCAAAGGAACAAATATCTGATTCTTAGATCCATTAAATATTTAGAATTTTACTATCGGTCTTGGTTTGACAGGAAGAACCATAATCTACAAGTGGTGCGTGTTGTACCACAGTATTGTATGATTCGTCATTCGTCACTCGGAACCCGGATGTATTTCAAGTACCCGGATGGATTATATCTAATCAGATCAAAGTAGCAATATCATGTACCCTAATTCAAATACATATCTGGCTCTTGTATTGTAACTTCTTATTATGAAAACAATGCACTTCTGGAAGTGTCTTCATCTCTTTTACATTATGCTTATTGATATGTTTTCTTGAATATTTTTCATCTCTTAGTACATACATGTATCTTATAACTGCCTCATAAAAAGCAATGAAATCCTAAGAGAATATTTCAAACATTTTTTTTATATATATTAGTTATAAGTAGAAACAGTTGAACTCAAAAGCAATAATTGATTTATATTTGAATGAGTAGAAAGATAATGTGTTGATTCATCTCTTGATGTCCCAGTATGTTTTTTTTTTTTTTTTTTTTTAGATAAACACTTCGTGTAACTTATTCCAGTTTTTTTGTAAATAATGCGATTGACACCTTCGGTAGGACAGATCAGAATATATATCCATTTCTGTGTACCTAATTCACTTAAATGATTTTGTGAATTGTTGAAAGTGATAAGACGTATGTTTTTGTGCTAGATTTATTACAAATGTTTAAAGATAACTAACGATGACATTTTTTTATGATTGATAAGTTTATTAGTTGTATCCCCTTGTGAATAATGATACATTACAGATTAATTTCGCTGAAATATGCACGTAAAGATGTTAATTAATAATTATAAAAGGAAAATCTCGCGTCATGTATGATGACGCATGCGTACAACACACCACGTCAGTAAACAATGAATGACTTCCCACGTAATCTGTCACGGTCGAAAAAAAGGTTACAAAGTCAGTCACAAAGGTTGGCCAAATAACCAGAAGAATACTTCCGAAAACTTCTTCGAAAAAAAATAATAAATTGGGAAACTTACCGTGGCAGATGGGAAGTCAGGATGGTGCTTGTATTCGGCTGGATTGACTGACAGACTGACCAAGTGGAACCAGGTCAAAGATTTGCATGTTGCTTACGATACGTTTACGGCTGAATTGAGAATTTTTACAAAAACGATAGCTTTTTAAGTCAATATTTTTTTTCTAATTCTGAATTAGATTTGAGTTATCAAACAACATTAAGTCGTCTAAAACAAATGCGTGTGCCGAAAAACGGGATTTTCCCCGCCATCATTTTGGTGTATACAAATGAATTGTGTTTTTTAGATATATCACGTGATGTAATCAGCTCTAAACTTGAGAGAGATTTCACGACTAAATTGAGTGGTCAAACTGGACATTAGAAATCGTCTGTGAATATCGGAATAAGATAGATCTAACTTGAAGTTTTTAAAGCACGCACATTCAATAAAAAATAAATAACAAAAAGACAAAGAAAATAACATTTTTGTTCCTTTAAAATAAACTAAGCAAAACATAATTTTACAATAAATCATTACTGATTCATATGGGATGGAAAAACGAAAATATTTTTTTATGATTTGGCCTGTGCGTACGGCAAGTGTAATGTTTTAGTGGTTTCATGCTATTTCTACTGCCGTTTATCTAGAATTGAATTTTATTGTTTTTATGTTTACGCTTTGACCGAGTATTCTGACCTTGATACCCTACATTTATGAAACAAAACTCTTGATTTCCTTACACCTGTTATTGCTTATATTGCAAACATTGATATGACTTCTAGATGTTGAATAATCATGGTAGCGTGGACGTTTTTTTCCACATTCTTATATTGTATTGTTCTAAACTTTTACATCATTTGGAATTCGATTGATCTTATTCTGTATCTATGAGTCTGTTGTAAAATGTAGTCTTTAATTAGGTTAATACCCAACAGGAGGTATTAGAACTTCTTTAGATATACAGGTTTGTCTTTAATTAAAACTCTCTTATGCTTCGCCACCATCTCGCACAAAACATGTAGTTGGTGGGAAAACGGGGTTAATTCTACCTTATATCTATTTTCATCTGCCTCCGAGTAAGTAGGATCGAAGTCTTTACATTGTAGTAAACTATCAGCTATCGAAACCACACCTATGTTCAATAACGATGGTTACGGCCCCGAGCCAAAATAGACTATATCTGTCTTATATCGATAATGGCGAACACGTGTATTTCGTTCCGTATTGTTAGTCGTCTGTAATTTCGATCTACCTTGAATCTCTGATTAACTGGCGTTTAGCCTGGAATCAGTTTGATATTGCTTTCCATACTTTTACCACCCACGATGGTTCTCGTCTCACATGATAATTCTGTCTACACGTCGTATTAAACCGAGCTTAATTTTACTTTTATATGACTTTCACACAATCTACGGCCGGGTCATTCCTCTCCTCAGTCTTACCCAGAGTTCATTGCGGTACCCAAATAACACCTCTGCAAACGGCTCACGCCATTCTTGAGAAAACGAGTTTTTTTTGTTCATTGTTTTCTTGATTTTGTTATTTGCATCAGTATTTTGAACATGATTTTTTTTCAAATGGGAAATTAGTACATAAATCTTAATGGCTATAAACGTTATGGATTATATCGCGGAATGATAATAGTGAGTAAACAGTCACCAAGCGTCGTGATTACACTTAGTACTTTCTCTTGTACTTCTGACATGTCCTCGAGATACATGTTCTTATACTGTGACATCAATGAAAATTGATGGTAGTTTGGCCATAATAATGACACATTTCCTCCCCGCAAGCGCAGATATCATCCTTTAAGTCTATAAATAGTACATGTATACAAAAAAGTCTACAGGGATGCCGCCATTTTTCCTCCAGACGTCAAACTTTGACCCTGACCGCGAGGTCAACTATTGGTAGTCCGTGAGCCGTGTGTTGTGACTGTTGAGGAACAGTAACTCAGGTACAGATTGTCTCTTCCACGACTCCCACCCATCCCCGTTTATTTCAGGGCTGGAAAATCAGCAATACTGGTGTTAGTCTTCCCGTTGTGTGATTTTCCCATTTGTTAATTTTTTTACACAAGTTTGGTTGTTTTT